GAAGAAAATACAATGCTTAAAGATGGCCCAATAATTTTGACGGCAATTTTCTGAAAAAGCGATATATTTATAAAGCAAAGAACCATTGGCAGGAATAGATGCACGACAAAATAAATAAACTCGAGTTTCCATATCAATTTTTATCTGTATTTCAATGTTGGTGCAAATGATTTCCCTAGAAATGTTTTTGATTAAGTGGTTTTGTTTGCAATCTATAGTGCAAATTGAATTTGTACGAAAGTAGCGATAATCTACCTCATGCATTTGTTCATTGCCACACCTTTCAATATTTGAAAAATGAAAAGGTTGAAAATTTCAAAATGAATAACAGGATTTAAACATACAAGGAAAGCGACGATTATGGATCACATTGAAAATATTAATTTACATTGCAGTTAAAACGAAAAATGATAATACACCTATTGCCAGCCGTAGCAATATAATTTATTGCTGCACTAAAGAGGCTTAAAAGTCGTATAAAATAAACTACTCTAAAGCTGTCTTACCAAAATAAAATAAACAGTCAAGCATATATTTGTCAAATATTTGCAGGAAAAAAACAATTTTTTGAATTATTTGTAGGACTAAGTTTCTGGCTAACAAAATTTTGAGAGTATAAGAGAATTTTTTCTAAGCGAAAGCTCAAAATGTTGTTTTTTGCAAAGATTTTTTGTCATCAGCTACTTTGCAGAAAGAGCATGTTATATGATAAATATGCCTAACTGTGCGTGATTATAAAAACATACAAGTGCATACAAAAGTATAGCTGTAAAAGTCAGTTTAAGGGGATCATAGCTTTTTAAAATAGAGTTTCTTTTATGTTTAAGCATTGAAACAAAGATTTTTCAATTTAAGCTCAATGCATGGTCGAAATATATCACAGAGTACTGGGTTACCTGCTCATCAAGAGACAAGCATTCCTAAACAAAATGTATAAATGTATGAAGAAGTTATGGTGAAAAGTTTTTCTTTCACTTTTGAAAGGATCCTTTTCGTAAACCAGTTAAATTAATTACTAATTCTGTGCCCCAAAAAGCAAAAACAAGCAATTAATTCCAACCTGCGATGACCATCTTAGCTCTGGTACAAGCTGTTAATATTCAAAGTAATCTTTTCTTTGAATATAGCATTGACTGAAAGCCACAGGATAGCTGGTATCGTGTCTAAATGAGCAACAATTTAGTAATTTTTGAGTCTAGACTGATAATAAAACGAAGAAAGTGTGAATAAGTTTCACAAAACTGGAAGGTTCTCTATATTTATAGTTAAATCTTCATAATCAACTTGCCCCAAGTATCAAAAGATGTATCGTCATAAGCAGTTATTCAATTTTAGATTGATGTTATGAAGATTTTGTAGCAAAAGAAAATAGCTTGGTGTAAACAAACAAGAGTCGTTGCGCATCGATCCGTATGCTTTGAACAAGCAAAGATTTGAATATTGCTCAGCTTTTTTCTCCAATGCTTTCAACCGTTATTTTTAGAAAAACACGCATGGTGAAGACAATCATATTTTTCTTCCTTTTAGATCTTGATAGGTGGGAGTAAAGGCAACAGATTTGACAACCACGTCATTTGATTGAGAAAAACAAGAATTTTGCACCTGACCAGTTCGTACGTCAATCGCAGCTGCGCATGTTTGCCATACTTCTTACGTGTTAAATTAATATATAGCAGCTCGATTAAAAGGACAAATATTATTCAAAGGACGGCAGATAACTTAAAGACGAGCCTTGAACCTTCAAATGCCAAGGCAGCAGTTATCCTTCGGCCTGGTTCATAACATCACGCCACAGAGTAGCGCCTGTAAGTTGTGTTAATAAACCCTCTTGATTCCATCTCATGATATGCCATATATTTCTTAACATTATAACTTTATTACGCATTTACTCGCTGGCTAAGGTTCCTCTGAGTAATTTGTAAGAAAACCCAGCCACACCTGGGAGCTTTTAGATAAGGCAAAACTGCATTATATTTTTTCCATTTTTGAGGCAGCAACCCAACAAAGTATTTTAAGTAGTCACGATTCTCTACTAAAAAGACTTTTTGATGCGTTTACTTTTCAATTGCTGGGATCAAAATGTCTCATTGACATTTGGCAGTGGACATGAACCCTTTTACGTGAACATATTTTTATCTCTCATACAGATCCACCCATATGGGCCCATATGCTCACTATGATCCTTTCAATAAAGTGCATTTGTACATTTGTGGCATGAAATGAGCAAATAATATCAAAATCAGTCAAATGTAAAAAATCAAGAACGCATAAAAACATGATACTGACTGTGGTACTTGATTTCGTTAATGTATCACTGCCTTTACTGAAAAATTCGATTTACATGTAATGCCGAACATTTATTTTTCTATCAGGTACGTAAACTTCACTAAAAAAAGTCTTGAAATCTTTGCGTGAAAAAGTTTCACTGTGAAAGTTAGACAAATACACTCATTTTTTTATAAGAAACTGGCTATAAGAAACGAGTACTGGGCAGTCAGAAAAAATTAAGAAACTTCAGTACTCGAAGCAAAAAATTAAGAAACTATTAAGACAGAAGGGATAAAAATATACTTCCCGCATCTAAATATAGCATCAGAAAGGAAGCAAATATCTTGCCGTGATAAAAAAGGTCACAAACATTTCATAACATCATTCATGACAATGAGTATTGAAATTTCCAGAACATTAAGAAACTGGAGTACTCAACATCGACCTTCGTTTCTTATACAAAAATGAGTGTAGCATAACAAGCTGTCCTGGACTAACCTGGTATAGGGAATTTTCTATTATTGCAATACACAACTAGCTGAAAGGACGTGAAGGTAGGTCATACATTGTGAAAGGATATGGTGTGTATAGGCAGCTTTAATGTCGACAGAAACTATGCAGGAGTATATGTGGGCAGTTCTTATAGCGAGAATCGCTGTCAAGAATTGCATGTAGGGAATGATTGAACGGACAAAACTATTTAAGAGTGTAACGGAGACAAACTTTACATCGTATTATATTCAAGAAGATGCGTAGACAGTTTTGAAATTTAAGAGATTATCCAAGAGTCTACGTTGATCCTTTCATTGAAAAATTATCCAAAAATGTATCTAAGCATCACTGTACAGAAAAGATTAGAATATCCATGAATATTCATTTAGCGAGATCCTATTTCGTGTAAAACTTTCGAAGAGTTTATGTAGACGTTTATCGTATCTACAAAAATTCTTCAATAACTTTATAGGCACTTTTCAAAACTATAGAAGAGTACATTAAAAATATTTTATGGGCAAAAAACTATCCAAGAGAGAATGAAGGCAATTCTTGTGTGAACAAAAACTATCTAAGAGTGTACGTACGCAGTCGTTATTAAGACAAAAACTACCTAAGAGTGTACATAGGCAATTTTTGTATGGACAAAAACTATTCAAGAGTGTGTGTAAGCAGTTCTTATATCGACAAAAACTATCCAAGAGAGAATGAAGGCAATTCTTGTGTGAACAAAAACTATCTAAGAGTGTACGTACGCAGTCGTTATTAAGACAAAAACTACCTAAGAGTGTACATAGGCAATTTTTGTATGGACAAAAACTATTCAAGAGTGTGTGTAAGCAGTTCTTATATCGACAAAAACTATCCAAGAGAGAATGAAGGCAATTCTTGTGTGAACAAAAACTATCTAAGAGTGTACGTACGCAGTCGTTATTAAGACAAAAACTACCTAAGAGTGTACATAGGCAATTTTTGTATGGACAAAAACTATTCAAGAGTGTGTGTAAGCAGTGCTTATATCGACAAAAACTAACCAAGAGAGAATGTAGGCAATTCTTGTATGAACAAAAACTATCTAAGAGTGTACGTACCCAGTCGTTATAAAGACAAAAACTACCTAAAACTGCACATAGGCAATTCTTGTATGGACAACAACTATTCAAGAGTGTGTGTAAGCAGTGCTTATATCGACAAAGACTAACGAAGTGGGTATTTTGGTAGTTTTCAAATAACAAAAGCAAACCAACAACATATGTAGACCATGACTGTATCGGGAAAAAGTATTTCAGCTCTAATTACAGATAAAGAGAAGAAAAATGAGATAGATTCTTAAGATTGACTATGAATATTGTCATCACTGCTACAAATGTGCTTTTTATCATAGCACAGACCTTTCTGTATCAAAACCAGAAGCAAGACTTTTAATAACTTGATGGACATGACAAGATTTATCACCATGAATTTTGGTTCGCCAGTTATCTGCAGGAATCGTCTACTGCAATCTGGTGACACACCTTTCTTTTGTGGTATAGATATGCCGGCTAAATTGGCCTTTAATCTTACGAACTGATAAATAAAAACATGAATACAGATATAGCTAAAATGTCTTTTCTATTATGATGCAAATGATAGGAATGTTTTCGCCTGTCACTGCAGGTGCTACGATGTGAACAAAAAAACTGCTTTCTAATCGGCCGGTATCTCATAGTTTTTCTGGAATAACATCTATAAACATCTTTTGCAGCATTCAAGAAAGTAAGAATACAGCTTAAATGGGAACAAACTGAAAATGCAAGCTCACTGTTGGCTATCTAGAAATGGTACCGAGTTGCAGATACTTTATGCAAACAAAATCGACCAAACGATAACGAGATCTTCTGGCAACTGTAGAGATACATTTTGAGAAATGAAGAATAGTTTCTAGGGTGAAAGAGGTCAGATGTAAAATCAAGTCTCGCCAGTAATTGCTTGTGGAAGAAGGGAAAATTGTGATGCAAAAAAATGCAGACTAAAGATTATGGAGAGCATTTGATACGATAGACAGGATTCTATGCCGTACCAAATCATGAGACTGCCAAATTTATTGGACAATTGATACGGTTGAGTCACATTAATATCAAAAACTGGCCTAATCTTTAACATTACAAAGAAAAAAGACCAGAAGCACAAAATAGGAAATATAAAAAAGCGGAAGTACAAAAGTACCAAGGAGAGGTACCAGCTCCGTGGAGAAAACCAAAATGGCAAATGTGAGCTACTGGAACAACTCATTTGTGAAAACAGATACTACTGTAAGTAGAAACAAAACGTATTCCCTGACAGACAACGGAAACGGAACAACCTCATGTGACATTTCGGAGCCACTTGGAACCGATTTTCGTGTTGCTCTTTACTGTCTTGTTATCATTGTATCAACCATAGGCAACACTTTGGTTATATTTGTGGTCATTAGAAACAGGAGAATGCACTCTGTTGCGAACTATCTGATATGCAACATGAGCATCGCAGACCTGCTGATCACCATTCTGCCCATGACATGGGAGGTAGTAAAGCTGCGACATTACCCCGATGGTACCTGGCCCATGGGCGCCTTCATGTGTTCATTCACATACATTTGTATTTACATATCCGTTGCTTGCTCTATCTTGACTTTGACCTCAATCTCACTCGATCGATTTTTTGCAGTTCTTTATCCGTTGAAGCAATACATAACAATGGATAAGCTACCCTTTCTGCTTATCGCAATATGGATTGTCTCCTTCGCATTCGCCAGCCCTATGATATTCGCGCAAGGACTTATAACAGAAAACAACAAAACCTATTGTATAGAGTACTGGAAGCCTCCATTTCACATGACTGAAAGTCCGAAACATTATACAATCATACTTTTCACAGGATTGTACGCTGTACCGCTGCTAGTAATGTCAGTACTTTATACATTGATCGTCGTCAAGCTATGGCGCAGAAACATACCTGGAAACAGGAGCTCAAGAGCCAAGCTGCAAGCTTTGAAACAGAAGAAAAACGTCATTAAGATGCTTGTTTGCGTTCTCGGTGTTTTTGCTATCTGTTGGTTCCCAGTGTTTTTTGCGCAGTTTTCGTTCTTTTTTAATCCAACCTACATAGCCTGTCCCAATTCATTTCCGCACTGGTTACAGTTCTTTGCATTTTTCATGCAGTATTTGGGCAGTGCAGTTAATCCCTTTGTATATTTTGCATTTAGCAAGGCCTTTCGAGTTGGATTTTGGTCTGCATTCAAATCATCGTCTTTTCGCAGGCGAGAAAGCAATTACCCAACAATCTCTAGGTCTCATGGGAGAAGCACAAGGCGTGGAACTATCTCACCAAACACGCCTAGGCCATCTGTAGCGAATCGTCCAAGAGCGATAAGTGTTCAGCTGAACTCGCTGAAAGAAAAGCAAGTGGAGTGAAAAGATGATCTGCATTGTCAGTCAGCAAATTTCGGGTCAAACTGGCTCTTATCTGGGTGATGCAGAATCAAAAGCAGTCAGCATATTATATGATTATGCGTGTTGATTGCTTGACAACTCGTCCTAGCACCTATTTAAGTAAAGCAAGAAAGCATCGATGATTAATGATTAGATGATGAGATGTTCGCTGCTATCAACAATCACCATTGTCATCATCATCATCATCATCAATCATCATCATCATCATCATCATCATCATCATCATCATCATCATCATCATCATCATCATCATCATCATCATCATCATCATCATCATCATCATCATCATCATCATCATTTATTTATTTAGCGTACCTTAAAAAATAAAGCTTATTTATAGCTAGTTAAGACCTGCTATTGATTGTAGTTAATAGTAACTATTGAAAACCATAACCACTCTGACGAAAAAGTACATTAAACTACATCAGTTATCACAAATTGACAGGAAAACAATAATTAACAAGAGTTTGCAATAACAAGTGGTGACATTTGTAATAAATTCCTGACGATAGCCAAAAACTCACTAAATACGAAATAATCAATAACATGATTGCTAGAGTGAGAAAACCAGTTTCACAAAATCTTTCAATGAATTCTTTGTGAGTAATAAAAAGCAAAATATCAGCTTATGTAAGGTGGAGTTTAGTAAACCATGTTTTCTTTATAAACGAAAATATCCAGACATTTTTAAGGCCTCAAAAAACAAATCAAGATATTAATAGTTGATTCAACGAGCAAACATTCAACTTACCGCAGTCCTTTGATGTCTGTTATCGATGTTGTGAAGACCGTAGAATGCAGGGATCTGACAAGTAACTGAAAAGGGCAAAAAATCTGAAGTTCTCAAATACAATTCAAGATATGTGAATGAAAACTTAAGCAACAATATTTGCTTACCGGGAAAGATCTATAAAAAGAGCTGGTCTTTTATTGATAAAGTAATATTAAGCTTTGTTGAGTAAAGATCTTATGGATAAAAATAAATACGTTGCTTAAAGAATTCTGCAGCTAAAGTTAAATGTTGTTAATTTTTCATGTTTTACTTTAATGCATTTATTGTATGATTGCACACATAAAAATTAACCTGAAAAATTTCTCTAGAATTTTTTATTAAATGTTCAGAGTTCAAAATACACTTTAAACTTCCTTGAAGAGAAATTTTCCTATTTGCCTTCCAAAAAATTTCCTTGTATGCTGTAAACAAAGGAATCTTAAAAATAAATTTTAAGTAAAATCATCCCTGATTTGACCTTCATGCTTTGTCAGGGAAAAAGAAACTTTCAAGCACAATGGTAGATTCTTCTCACTTATTATGCTGTAGTCAAGTTAGGCATTGGTCGTCCTCAAAACTACTTCATCGTTGGATAATCTTTCTCTGGCTCACAGCCGTGGAACCGTTATGTTTACTGGACTCTGTAAAAATTATCAACAATAACTTCATCGTATTCATAAATGTAAAGGAGCTTTGACCAAATCTTAAATTGAAACTGCTTTGCTTAAAGATGAATTTATAGACAAGACAATCAAAAGCAGAATAAAAACGAGTTTCTTTAGCTTTTAATCCATTAGTAACAAGGAAAATTTAATACAAAAATGAGATTCTCCTCAAATTATGCAGTTCCAGGGGATAGGTTCGGTTGTTAGAAAATGTCTATCACTCCGTAGATATTTGACCGAGGACCCAATTTGAAAACCTGGATACTCGGGCGAAAACATCGTAGCTATTTCCGGGCACGCATCTTGATTCACCCCAACTCACTACTCCACGAAGCTTCCACTGCCCTCCTTCTGGACATACGAATGGACCACCACTATCACCATGACAACTAGCCACGTTATTTGTACCACCTGCCCCTGCGCAAAGCATGTTTTCGGTGACCTTTCCAATAAGTGCATTCCCTGCAATGTGAGTAGAGACATTAATAACTAACCATTCTTACTTAAAGAGCTAATTCGGACGCCAACTGCGAATCTTCGGAATTCTCTGTAAATTGTTTAATACTATGAAACATATCATTCGAAAGGGATTCTGTATTGAAGAGCCACAATGTGATATTTTTTGCTGTGGTTATGCCTCGTTGTGATGTTTTCTATATACGGGACTTTTTGAAATTCAAGACTACTTTCTCATAGCCCTAAATCAATCGTGTATTTTTTAAGCTTGCTGCAACTATTGAATAATATTTATACCACATATCAGATGACTACATAAGAATACGAGCACGATAGACCACATAACACGCAAAACCCAGGCTTTAACACTGCCACAAGCTTTATACGTTATTTGAAGAGGTACAAATAGAAATGTACCTTCGATAACTCATAGGTGCTGGGCAATGTCATATGTAAAATTGAGCGGAAAGCTTGATTTAAATAACAAAACAATACAAGAATCATGGTTGATCAATTGAAACTGCTACTGGTACAAACATAAGCACACGCATACTTTAAGGGCGTCATTGCGTCATTGCATGGTGATACCCATATCGTTAAACTGACACTCACCTTTCTTGCAATCGTCGTTTGACACTACTGGTAAGGTGGCTTCTTGCAGTTTCGTTGGTGTTGGCCCACCACCATAAAGATCACCCCAGCCACTGACAATGCAGTTTTTACCTGGGAAAGATACAACCATTGAACAGCTGTTGATATATGTTTACAGCAAGCTACCTTGATTGAAATTTTATCATAATCTTCAATAAGTTGATGATTAGCAATAAAGAGAAGCGGATGCAGCTAAATCAAGAAGTAGATGCTACAGGGGATGGCCAGAAGAACAACTTTCATGAAAGGGTTTGGATACACCGGAATGACTTGGCATTTGAAAGGTCTATTGGATTTGCCATATTTATCGAAACAACATACTAATTTGCATGCATTCACAGTTGAAGTAAAAGGAACGAGATTTTGATTCTATGCAACTTTTTGTTGATTAACAAAATATTTTTGAACAACAGTCATAATTTTTTCGCAAATAGTTTCAGAAAACCCTCCCGTCTTTGCATCATCGGTGTAAATGATGCCATACCTAAAGCAAATAAACCTGCGACCTACAATGCACGAGTTATTACACTTAATTATCGGTTTTATTTACTGTATAGCATCGTTAGCAGTCGTGGTAGCAATGTACTGGGTGAACAGGATATAGAACAAACAAGGAACGAATAACAGTCTCCAACACAAACCTGTTGGAACACGGTCATCCTGATTGGGGAGGCAAACAAGTCCAACCTCCTTTGTAAGTAACGCTGGTCTGTCGAGTTTCATCAATGCAATGTCGTTGTCAATTTCATATGAGTCGTATGCATGATGCATGATGATCTTTTGAATGCCAAATACTTGCTCAGGTCCGTCTTTGCTGCCAAAACACAGAACTAATCCGTAAAAATTTCATTCCTTTGTCAAAAATTTAATAATGCGTGCACAAGAAATAGCTGCTGTACAACTCGTCGGCCTAAAGAGCTGGCGTAAAATAATCCTATTTCTAAATGAAATTAATCCCGGAGAAGGTTCGTGTTTATAGCAACCAGAGAAAACCTTATGTTAAATAGAACGGAATTTATACACAACAGTAATTCTTAAAATAGGAGTCTAGAAGAGTTTATATGAAGAGTTCTGCAGATAATTCTGTACATTTCCCTGCCTAATACACACAAGAAACTTCAAGTTTAGTGTTGAGGCTGCAGCTATGTAGTTGCAATGCTTTTATCTACCATTAAATACATTTGGCTCTTTGTTTAATGTCGAAGTAAATTTCTTGTTTAGTTGTTACTTCCAATAATCTGTTATTCAAACATATCACTGAACACGCAGAGTATATATGAATGTGAAAACTCTGGTAGATTTCAAAAAGATAATTGCTATTGCAATGACGTAGCATTGAAAAGAATACAAGAAACATGGCAATGCGTCAAGAGAAAAAAGAATGACAATATCAATCAGGGCCTCTGAAAAGCTACTAAATAAATGCAAAGAAGGCCTGTATGCCTGAGCTATATTGTCATTTTCAGTTCTTTCCCTCGGCGCATTGCTATTGTTTTCATTTTTCTCTCGTTGATTATACAATGTATCAAAACAATATATTAAACGTATTACTTTGTGAGATGGTGTTCTCCCATTGTAACCCTGTAGCCACTGGCAGCCAAGTCATCCTCCACACAATGTGCTGCAGTTAGGACCCACTGAGGATGAATGAGAGATCCTCCACAGATATGAGAATACCTCTTGTAGGCCAGTTGGGCCTGCCAAGGCCATGAATTTGGTTGAGATGTGTTGCCATTGACAATACGCGAAGTAGCACGAAGTCCACATGAGCCTTAAACAAAGCAGTGGTTGATAGATTGTTCAAAAGTATCTTGGTACGGGCGGACAAAAGCAAATAAAATAAAATATACTTGTGCGTAAGTTTTGGTAGCAAAAGCTGCTATTCAATGTAAAAGATAATCTGAAAAACCTATACACATCAACTCTCATCACGTCTTTTTGAGGATTTACAGTTCCTTACCTCTTCAATAATTCATTGATGGTATGAGGGTTAAAGCCCCTGCTAAAGTACCGAAATTGTCAGAGAATTTCTTGAATTTTGCTACTTTGCTGAAATAAATATCAATTTTTAGTCCCCATCCCTTCATAAATTGACCTCTGATTGAACGCTTGATAAAACGAAGATTTTTGTGAATGCTTACAAGAAGAAAAAGCTGAACCTAAAAAATTAAAAGCATTGGTGAATAAAAAAGACCTAAACACAGACGTTCACCTGCAGGAAGGCTAAAACATTTTTTTCACAGGAGACATTTTTCCCACAGTATAAAGTTTTTTTTATCTATTTGATATTTCAAAAGATTTTAAAGCTTGGTGCCGACTAGGGTCCTAACAATGTTTATTCTGTCACCATTGCTTCAAATCTGGTGAAAATGAAACCCCCTAAAAATTCAAGCTTCAGTGTTAGATCCTTTTCAATGCTCAGGTAGTCAGTTATAATTAAATCATGATCTAGCTGCCGCGAGTACCCTAGATGCAAAACTGACATAGTTGCCCACTTCAGGCTATTATGATATTACGATATAATTATGACGGTGTGTCGGTCTTGATGAATGTGCTTTGGTGTTTGCTAACTGCAGGAAACTAACAGTCTAATCGCCTTACGAAGTGACATTTTAAACCTGACTTTCATTAATCTATGAGTCTCTCAGACTCTATTTCCTGCAATAAAAATCCATGACAAAAGTACCTGTAAGTCGAACTTGAATTGTTCTTTCTATTTTTCCGTCGTCATCGCTGTCTGAAAGCCATCGATAGCAGTTAAATTCATACTTTGCAACTGAGTCGTCATCAGATATAACCACCTGAAAATACAGTTTTAAAATGCTATTGGTGCTTCTGAAATTTTATTGCTGGAACAGAGGAGGGAAAAGGGATGTGCTCTCTAACTTTCATAAGTTCAAAAATGCCTGCTCATTCTAGTCATAAGTAATAGTACCCATTTTAAAAGGAAATATTTCTACGTGTCCATAAACTGTAAAATGCTTTAGACGGCCCTGATTTTTAACGAAATAACTATTTTCTTAACTAAAGGAGATATAAAATCAGAGCAAATCATTTACAACAATTCAAAGTTAAACAGATAGAGATATTCGGAAAAATTTTGTTTTCATAACACAAACTGGCCTAAAAAAAGGAATTATTTTCACTGATCATGATCCAAAGTAGGATCATATAATTTAAAAAGTCTATAATTTAGAAGTGTATGCATGAACTCAAGCACAAATCACAGCGTCTCCAATGCAAATAATCTTATCGCCAAATAAATTTCTGGTTAAAGCAAGAAAAATGACAAAGTTTTGTTATCCTGGCAACAGGAAAATTACCTGTACGAGCAAGTCGAATTTATTGAGCGTCGTTTGTGTTTATATTACAATTGTATTTTTTGTAGAGTGATTAATGATTTCGCATGCCATTTACCCCCATTTTACACGGTCTTCAACTAAATTCTAATGACATTAAGTTATGCTACGGCATTTAAATCCACAGTAGCGTTTCTAGTGGCTTTTCAAATTCTCGATAACATTATATTCCCACTGCTTATTCATTCTGCATGGCATTACTTATTATATGACTTTACTCCGCGTGGCCTTTCATTTTGCATGGCGTTTTAAATTTCATATGACATGATGCATTGCGGCACGATGTGATGCATCGCGTGTTGGCGGGATCGTGGAGTAGGTCTGGGTCACCAACCATATCAAAATTGCTACAGCAAAAATGCCTTGTACAGCAACGATGAAAGCAGTAAATGCTTCACTGCGGTCTACTCTGACGAACTATTTGTCGACTGTTTGCATGATTTCGACAGATTTGCTTTGTACGCAAAGTCAATACCTAGGCCAAAACGTGGCTCATGTTCTTTGATTTTCCCGCTTGTGCTTGCGTTTTATTTTCGGTCTTGTGCTTGCGTTTTTCTGATTGGCCTATTTCAATACACAACTGGGTATGAATTTTTCATGATGTTCTTTCGGACCCTTATTCAGACGTTTTATGTTCTGAGAAGTATCAGAAGAAAAAGCTTTAAGTCAATACGTTATAATATGTTTGCTTTTTTCAAAGCCATTTTCAAGATTTAAGACAGCATTTTTTATTGCTTTTACGTGATCCCTTGAAAAAATTAGTCAGTAACAAGCCTTATTTCTACAGAAATGATATGATGTGTACCTTGTCAAGGAACCAACCAGGACCCCACCAGCTGTTATCGTGTCGAATCTTAATTTTTTCCAGCTTTCCAAGATCCTGTGTTGTCAGTTTGAAAAGATCCTTACTAGGAACAAATGAAATAAATTAAACAATGTGCAAAGTCCAACATCTAGCACTCTAGCTTGCTAGAACACCATCATGTAGCTATACATGGCATCGAAGCTTGAGAAATGCAACTAATGTTCTCAACCGTTGTTGTATATTCATAAAAACGAAAATCAGGACAATCAATAAAAATGCTTAAGATCATATAGGAAAGATCTATGTTGTAAGCAGAGGAATATAACATGAACGGTATTATTAGCAGTAATTTCAAACAATTTCAGATTTCAGATTTGGAAATTTTTCTTAAATGTTAACGAGTAACAACTCTTAAATGTTTAATCTGTATTTGGACTAAAACAGTTTGCTATAATTAAGGAAACTTTTTGCAGCAAACGTTAGAAATTACACTCTAGACGCGATTCGCCTATGTAACTTTATCTCGAAAACCCAAACAGAACTAGGTGCGATTTAAATTATAGAAAAGGAAAAATTACAACAAAGTGTCAATAACATAGAAGTTACAAAATAATAGTGATTTAAGAAGTCATTGATTGCTTACAGATCGCTATTTAAAATTTAAGAGAAGGTTTTCTTGCATTATGAAATCTCCAGCATATCATAAATCTTTGTACCCTGAGTACCATCGTTAAAATCTTTGAAATTAGGAGAATTAGCCTATGTCGTTCTCCATTATTTTTTTAGCTTTGATGTCTTAAAAGATTCAATATAAAGCAATGAGAATACGATAGAAATATGAAACAGGCAATCATCTGTTTAAACTCGGCAATCCGTTTAAATTCATCTGTTTAAACTCAGCAATCGTTTATTTTAGAATACTAACATTTTATGTATTGGTGACATACCGAATTATTTTACTCAAAACCGTAAAAAGTAAACGTTCAGTTTCGCAAAACAGTTCGTATGCAGTTTTAGAAGTCAGTTGGAATCAATATCAGAATAACGGAAACACAGTAATTAGAAAACTTTTGTTTTGATTTAGGCGAAGAAGACAGACAGAGTTACCAGCTCATTATGGCTAACGACTGTGGCTATGAAGCATTTAAATCAAACAAAAATCTTGACTCTTGGTTAAGTACTTTAGTTATAGAAGGAGACAAGACATGCCTAATCTTCTATCCTTGTTAACAGCTTTTTATGAAATGATTCATAAAAAATAACAGTCTTCGACCGTAAACGCCCAACTTCTGCAGTACAGGTGTAACATTGATACAAACGAAAGCCAAATCGGAAGAGCATTAGAAATAACCATGTGTCGATAATTACTAAACACAATGTCTAGGCCCCTGAAGGAAGCATATATTCTTATAAAGTAAGTACTAAGATATAGCTATAAGATAATTTCATCGAGAATTGACAATTGAAGTCAGAGCTAGCGGCAATTATTGAAAAGTTGATGTGATATAGCCTCGTTTTGCAAGCGACTGTAACCTTATAAAAAACAGTCTTCTATAGCTAGTTGCTTTGGTCGCAAGTGATGTTTTGTTAGTAATAATAAAGAAAACGCGCATGGGATTATTGGATTCCTGCTCATAAGTCACATAAATAAGAGTGAGATGTTTCAGTTGCCGATCTTGCAACTTGATTCATTAATTTTCCCATAGTTAATGATTTGCCAGGCCACAGTGACAAAAAATATATATTAAATTTATTCTAGCCGTTATTAAGATAAACATGGGTGATTTTCAAGCATATCTGATTAGTTAAAAGCAATCTTTTCAAAATGTGAAGTGTAATTTTCAAGCAAAATTTCAGTCAGAGATTAAGCCTTTAGTATTACTTCAAAAACTTCTAAAATCGTCATGTCAGAGTAAAGCTGGAGCAGCTTGCTGATAATTGAAACAGGTATGGAACTTTACAGGTCTCGAATTGGTTTCATGTTTATCAATATATAATCTGATACATGCAATTGTCTCCAGTTTTAGCCACTCGCATGTTTTCATAGTTACAGGAAGATGACTTGGAAACCGGTAGAGAATTCTGCATACAGTCTTTTTTCAAGAAAAATCTCAAGCCTTCATAACGACTATCAACTTCGTCAATTTCATTTGAAGGTAATACTTTATCTAGATGAAAACTAAACTACCTTCCACGGTCAAAGAGGTTTCTTCCGTTCAAATGGAGCTCGTGAGTGGACGCAGAAGCACCAAAGATTTGCAAATATACACCGGCATCTGTCGCTGCATAGTCTCGATCACCAGTGTACACCTCAATGGAATAGCTTTTGCCAAGCACTAAGAAAATACCAGTCAAGTTAAAGTTGAAAGTAAGGAATAAATTTTCTTTCTAGGGAGAATCTCGAAAAAGCGATTCATTGCAGTAGCAAAAGTGGTTTCAACAAAGCAACAACTGTGGACTTCAAGTAGAATAAAAGAATGAATGAATTAATCAATGATTGAATAAATATAGTCATGAACGAATAAATGAATGCATGAATGAATGAATGAATGAATGAATGAATGAATGAATGAATGAATGAATGAATGAATGAATGAATGAATGAACGAATGAATGAAGCAGCTGTATTATTCATTGCTGGTTTAAATGGCGAGTGTCAGTATAAAGTTAAAAGAAAACCACAGGTTTATACAGATTGAAGACAAATTAAATACATGTAATAGCAAATTTGTAATCCTTAATAATTGAACTAAATCATCTTTTAAAGTAATGCGTAAATAAGCAATCCATACCCGGGCCTGCAGCAGCAAGAAGCAATGCCAGAATCGCTGATAAAGCAAGATTTGATGTCATTTTGGTCCACTGGCTTCAAAGACGAAGGGAATAAGCAAGATATGGGACAGCAGGGTCACTTTTATATGTTTGTGATTAAAAATAATCATAACATTAAACAACTTACACAGTTGCTTAAAGATAGTTTCCCAATTATTAAAGTATTTATTTGCGTTTGAATCATATTAAGGGGGTAAATGCCGTCGAGATTGATCAACTGTATTAACATTAGAGTGATTGAAATGCCTTTTGTTGAAACAGTTGAATACATTTAATCATTAATTGAATGAAACAGCAAACAACCATCTTTAGCAAAGCCACAAATTTCCCAGTTTGGATAACCATTCAATAACATGTTGAATAGTTTAAGATCGTCCAGGAAAAGGACCTCAAATAATTAGACACGGCAGCATCCAGGGGCGGATCCAGAGCAAACTTGAAGGAGGGGCAGTTGGTAGTGAAGCGTTGAAATTTTTTCAAAAATTGATGACGAGAGTACGCTTTATACAACAATTTCAGATCCATTTTCGGAATAAACAACATAACTTTGAGATAATCCTTGAAGCAAATAAACCTATAGGTCTCAGAAACTTTTTCACCTGATTCTCATTCTTCAAAAGGGGCGCCAGACTTGCTTCAACTCGTCGAGGGAGGGGCAACTGCCCCTAGTTGCCCCCCCTTAAATCCGCCACTGGCAGCATCAGTACAACATCAGTACTCAAAATTTTGATACTCCTATGAACCTTGGCATGCATTTGAGCCTGAGCCAGTATCAGAATTACCAGCATCTTTGGCTTTGTCACGGAAACATTTCAAGAGCAAGGATTCTATTTTTTGGAATGGCGTTTCCAATCATTTTGATCAAGGAACAATTACCCTGTTGAAAATTTAATCAAAGAGCTCACTAGCATTAGAAGATTCATGATTAGATGCTGGGCTAGAAATGTCAACAGAAAGAAACATTTTCTGGTCAAAACCATACTGAAAGATTTAGCTCAAAACACTTTAATTATGTAGCACAGAAGATGTTTTTCAAATTTTTAAATGGATAGCTTATTATGAATGGGTTTTTCTAAAAAAGGAAAAAGACACATGTCCCAAACAAGCGTAAACAGATTCACATTATCTGCAAAACTGTATTTGCGGATTCGTATTTCAAAGCCCGATTTTCAGAAAATATTAGTGCCATAAGTTGGATAGGTAATTTTGACAATCAGTTACTTTAAAAAAATTAATTAAAAATATGGTTGTTGTTTTTATTCTGAATATGACTCCAAAGACATTGATTTCTGTTGGGCAGTGTTTCCCAATTACCCTCATATAAAGTAGCCTTGCTGTCAAACTAATGTTGCATCTCTTTGGACAAGACAAAATTGTCTAAATATGCTAAGTATGCACCAGAGACCATTAAACTTAATGCAAAAATCAACAAGTGAAGACATGCTTTAAAGACTCTTCATTTATTTCACACTAAACAGACTAGGAAATTGTTCTTTCAATAAAAAAGTCCCTCCTTTCTCCAAATGAAATATATCTGATTTAATCGAATGTCATTTCCCATAACATTTTACTGAAAGATAGCTATACAAGGTTACTTTCAACTAAATAAAATTTTTATTTTAACATCCAAAACAACTGAATAATTTCAGCTGCTTAAGAACACTTATCAAATGGGTAATGGTAGTAATCATTGTTAAATCAAAATAGATACCAGGTTAGAAATATTTTTTGATAATAGGGGTTTCTTTTGACCGTTGCCCTCCAAGGAAATAATGTCCAATAAACTGAAATTTTTTTATCATAATGACTGTGATTCTATCGGCTAGATGCTACCAGGATGCTGCCATCGGTTGCGGATTCTGTAGATATGACATGACAACTGCTGAAACTGATAACCTTTAAAATAAAAAGAGATGCTTATTATCAGGTATCTTGGTTATGAAGAAGGTAGAAACTGATTCATTCTTCTAAAATGGATAAATATGTAAAAAGGCAAAATAATTCAAAACAGCTGATAACAATCAAGTTTTGTTCAACTACACATAAGTTTAGAAACTTCAGAAATAATATGATTTTGCAAGATTTTTTTAATATTCAGTAATGATGTGAAACTTTGGGATATGAAAGTAAAAAGCAAAATAAGAAAATTTCTATAACATTTTACAGCTATAATTCACTTAAGCCAGCTTCAGTCAAATCAACTGCTGCTAGAAATCTAGTAATTACAGCAACAATAAAACACTTATGAGATAGAGACTATAGCTTCCCAAAATCATAACAAATCAAATGATTGCCAAGTACTGCCGGCAGCTGAGTACTGCAGGCAGCTTAGTACTGCAGAAAATACAGCAACCTAAAATTGGTTCAGCAAAATCAGACACAAGTACTTACAAAAAGCTGCTGAACATTTGCCTTGCGTCTTCTGATGCCCTTGCGTTTGCAAAACTAATAAAAGAGCAATAAACAGCTGCCCATGCTGCCCATTTAATCTAAAACAAAAGAGAGTTTTTTGCATACAAACTGCTTATGGTTTTAAATGATGGATAAGTTGAAAGAACATATGGAAAGAAATGAAACTAGAAACAAATAAATAAAGGCTTCCTCAAACAGTTGTTGAGATGATCAAGAATGGCGTAAGTGCATAACTGAATGGAATTGACTTTCAAAGAACACAATGTATGAATTTGTGCTGATGTTTGTACAATGCTGCTACAATCTATTGCCATCAAGAAACTCAGGTTAGCAATTTGATCACATTTAAGGACTCTGTCACATTAAAGACTTGAAAAAGCTAAAGTTTTTCAACTCCTGATAAATTTATGATCAAAATGTCCACTTGCTTCATAAATATTTTATCCTGAAGCTACAATATTAAAGAAATATTCTTTGTTTGTGAAATAAATTTTTCTTATGCTGCCACTTCAGCAAATTTCCTCAATGGCATTTCATTTAGGCCTATATTACTGTTTACACTTTTGGTTTGTGCTTCCAAACAACAGCACATATCACAACTTTTACGCCTATTGTTCTCCGGGAAATGAGGACAGCAAATATTTTGCCATTTAACAGACCTCAAGATGTAACTTTCCAAAATTGAATGATTTTCAAAATTCAGTAAAAAATTGTAGAATTATTGCATAAAATTGCAAATAATTTTAAAACAAAGACCATCCTCTGTTTATTTCATACCATTTATTTGTTGTTTGCTGAATTTTATCTGGTTTCAGAGAATAATTTTTTAAGGATCACCACTTTGGTAATTTTTTGAAACGATGGTGATTTTAGGCCAAAGTGGTCCTCAATCTTTTCTCGGGTGCTTCCAAATGATAGATGATAAATACTTCATTTTTTGCATGAATAAGATTAAGAGCGAGACTAAAAATCTGGTGGGGTGCCCTGATCAGTATTTGATGGCAACCAGTTGAAAATCAGCTTTTTGTGTGCTTCTGCCAAATTTGAATGTCAACGGCTTTTCTGTCTGAGAGGTCACCCCAAAAATTTTTATCCTCCTACAAATGAAGAGTCACTTTTGTATCCTTTTCTAGCAAACTAAGCCAGTCAGTAGAAGCGCAAGCTGAGTTTTGATGCCCCAGTCAGCCTAAAACTTGATGTTTTCTTAAGCAATTCTCAAAGATGGGAAGCCCCTCTGCAGCATAATTCTCCTCGGCTTATCTGTCAAGTGTGACAAAAATATCAACTTCAATGCTATTTCATCAATAAAAGGAAAATTTTAAAATGCTATTTTAAAATAAATTTATTCATTTTATAACAATATCACAATTGGTCAAACCTTTCTAAGCTACAGGAATATTCAATTTTAAACTTTAACATGTGACTATGATATCAAAATTCCTATTCCTTTTTACGCCATGAATAGGACAAACAACAATGAATAAACTATTTATTTCTAGCTTTTATTATCAAATAACTGCTTTTGGAAAAATGCACTAGCAGTGTTTTTATAGTGGCCACCCCTCAAATTTTGCCTTGAAAGCGAGTGCTGTATCACAGAGGCAGATACAGCAACCCAAGGATTGGTTGGGAGTTAATGTGCATGATTTTATAAAAAAATGCCTATAAACTCGAAATTGAAGCAAACAGTTAATTCATAGGAGTGAATATGGAGAAAACCAATTTATTTTAACTCGCTTAGCAGTATACACAACTGACAGATGATTCCTTTGGTATTTAGTAACATTTAGGCTTGATACCTTATAAATTCAGGTCAAAAATATTAACAAACAGGCTTTATAAAATCAAAATACAATTTGCGACCCAGGTATATCTTAAACAAAAGGTTAAGTTGTAATGAATTTAGCCCTAAAAAAGTTTCTAAAAGTCGCGTACCCTCATCATTAAGCCACACATACTGAAAATCATTCCAAGTAGATTTAAATAATCAGCAGAAGGATCATCTCCTGGCTTGTTACTACTTGAAGCTGGTTTGTATCGGTAAATTCGAGTAGGTCTTCTTGGGTCAGACCCTGGAATCACGTTTACCGAGTTTCCACGGGACGCCATTTTACTTCATTGATGAAAGGCCTAAACCAAAGAGAGGCATTGCTCGACCGATAAGAGGCAAATATGTAATGGCCGGAGTAAAATGGTGTAGATATGGCGCTCACAAGAACAAAAAATCTGGTTTTGGTGGTGAATGAAGGAGGTGAAGTTTGGTTGAATTTGAAAACACATCTCAAATTTCATAATTTAAAGCCAAATCTTCTGCAACTGTTTTTTATTGGTTCGTTTTGCTTTAAAATATACCTATTGCTCTAGTCACGATGTCATCTTTATTTTAAATGTTTCTGCCTAAACTGATTAAAGCCACCGAGAATTAAATGTTCCTTTGTTATATCCTTCCTAATTTCAGGAAATAACCAGACACAGCTGATCATAGCATTCTCTTACATAAGTTAGAATATGTTTATATCACTACTATGATTTGGTTAGAATACAATATTGTACTCACCTTAAGGTAAGTCAAGAATCATAGAAGGAAAGACAAAGGTTTGTTCCAGTGTGGAATCAATGTAGCGATATCCGGAGTGGACTAACAAAGCCTATTGTACCTCTGTTCTTCAATGGCGTATGTCTGGCTTGATCTTTACATAGAATCCACCTTGTGTTTTTTTGAAGTTAAACTTTCAGATATTGTTTAAACTTGTAGTGTTTCTTCTCTCAAGAGAAGATATGATATGCCAGGTTTCCTTCATAGCACAAGATAATTCATGTGAGCGCTCTGCCACTCATGCAGGCTAATTCTTATTAGATATATTGTATATATCTTTGATCTTTATAGATATTGTATATATCTTTATAGATATATTGTATTTTTACTTAATTCTAATGAAAAGGCCATTTTTAAGCATAACAGGCTTATGTCAAAATGTCATTAATAAATTTGCTTTTTTTCCTAGTATATACAATTTTTCTTTAATTCCTAAATTATAGGAAAATTTTGACACCAAAGACACACTCTCACCATAAAATGTAAATCTTTGCTTCTAAATGGCAGTTGTTACATCTTAATTCCAATTAACCCATCAGCAATAACTAGGTATAATGAATAATCTCTAATTACTAATCTCAGATTGATATTTTGAAATAATTAATATTCTCTTTATAGATATATTGTATTTTGACTACTTCATGTTAATCTAACTCGTGTTAAATATTGATTTATTTTCTTTTAGCTTAACCTTACACTTATTATTTTACTAAACTTTGTTTACTTATGATACATATTCAATTCATTTTATTAAAGCTGTTTAACATTTTTTGGCCTGTAAGAATTCCTATGTCAAATTATAACAACAAAAGCCTAATGTAAATGAATATTATGTCAAAAATGTTCTATGATAATGATATTTGCATAGCAAAACTTATAAAATCTTGCTCCATAATCATATACAAAGTTGTCCTTATTGTAAATTGATAGTCAATTTTACAGAATATATCTTTTTTTAATGTTTTTCATTTTACTCTCCAGGTACAAAAAGGGATACAAACAACCAATAAGAAAGTGATATATTGCAGTGCTAATCATGGTTGTATGGTGCCTCTATTGCAGCCTTCCAGTTGCCAAGCATAGCTCATTGCTTTGCCTAAAATGCGAGGGATATGTTCACTTTGGTTGCATGTTGCAAGAGAAGCCAAGCCGTTTTGAGGGTGATGTTTTGTTTGATTTCCAGTGCAAAAATTGTGGAGGCAATGAGGGGGAGCAGATATCTCGTAGTAAACTAACTTGGTTGCAGGCAATACATATCACACTTTATAATCTTTCTGTAAAAGGCAGTGGGCGCCAAGGATTTTTTCGATGGAAAGATGATATATGTCCATTTATCAGCAAAAACTGGAACATGCTTTTTCCAGACAAACCTATGACGAATAACTGGAGAAGCACCGTTGCTGGGACACTTTCAGTCTATTGTTCAAAACTGTTCAAATCAGGCCAATCGATTTTTAAGGAAAGTGGTTGGTGGGCTCTCATGGAAGTAAAGCCTCCACTTAGGACCTATGGAGACGAAATCAAAGTGAAACAGAAAAGCAAGCAGAAGGTCAGCTCTTTGAAAGGAGACTATATTGAAGGGGGTTTGTTTGATATAGGACGTAGAAAACGTAAGCAAAAGCAAAGTGAAGGATTAGATAAGAAAATGAAAGAGGATGATGTGAAAGAAGTATCATTAAATGACAGTGAATTTGAGGTTGGAGTTTTAGGACCGGTTTCGATTACAGAAGACTTAGACAATAGTAATTTTAGTGCAAGCCAGGATGATATTGAAGGAATTATTCAAAGAAAAGACCCCTTTGCTCTTGTAAAGGTTGAAGATTTAGGTAAGGCATTTTCAGAGAGCCTTATTGAACAAAGTGAAACAGGCACCTCTTTGAACGAACCAGGACTGGAGCTCCCTGAGACTCTGAAGTCTGAAGTTGCTTCATGCGACATTTTCAATGAAGACTCCCTCAGTTCAAGTCAAGAACAATTCAAAGCAAAACCTCCAGTTGTCAAAATGCCAACGAAGAAAGATCCAAAGTTAACACCAATGAATTCGATCCAGGAGACAGAATTCTTAAATAAGTTAAACAGTTGTCCTAACGCCATAGCGGCTGATCCAGCTGCAAAACGCCTACAAAGGAAATTGAAACTAAGGAAACTAAAGTTAGAAATGGGTCTACCGCTGTTTAACATAGATAGTGTAGTGAGAAAAATGATTCAGAAAACGGCTCCAGATGGTATTGAAGCAACTTTCACTGATACACTGGGAAGAGAGCTTCCCAAACCGGCCAAGGAGGGAATGAACCAGACCCAGAGTCAGTGCACCTCGTTGCATCATCCTGCTCTACAAGGGGTTAACGTTCTTGACAGATTTCGACTAGGGTTTAGAAAAACTCCCAGGCATCGGTCTAGCAGTTCAATATCGCAAACGTTTATATCTCGTTTAGTGGGTAGGAATGACGAAAGATATCAACGACCTATAGGCAGTCCGTATACACAACGTGTGTTGAAGCCATATATTAGACGAGACTTTGACACAAAACCGTTAAAACTTAAAGTAATGGAAGAGCTAATTGCTTATACTCATCGGTTTGATCAACACTGGATCAGTCCCTGCCCTTCACCTATCGATTACTGTTATGTGCAACCACATCACATACCAGCAGTTAATGCCATGTGTGAAGAATTCTTTTGGGCTGGCATCAATCTATCTGAATGCCTGCAATACCCCGATTTTAGCTGCGTTGTGTTATACAGAAAACTTGTAATTGGCTTTGCTTTCATGGTACCCGATGTGAAGTACAATGAAGCCTATATATCGTTTATTCTTGTTCACCCAGATTGGAGAAATGCGGGTATAGGTACATTTATGATTTATCATTTGATACAAACGTGTATGGGCAAGGATGTGACATTACATGTTTCAGCTTCAAACCCTTCAATGATGCTATACCAGAAATTTGGGTTCAAAGCAGAGGAGTTTATACTTGACTTTTACGATAAATATTTGCCTGAAGACAGTAAAGATTGCAAACATGCATTTTTCTTGCGATTGCAACGCTGAAATTTTTAATAAAATGCATCTTTATGTAAACATGTATAAATCAAACAGTATCCGCGTTTTAGAAAATCAGTACTTCTTGTTTTAACTATTCTAAACGCCGCCCGCCGTTAATTCTAAATATCAAAACGAGGTTTATTCAATGACGCAATGCCTCGTTTTTCAAAATTTCTGTAGAAGTTTCTTTTTAATTTTCTGGGCACGCAAAGCTTTGGAAGTGTATACCAGCTTTATTACTAGGACAAGATGATGTATCAGCTAGCATGAAGCCACTTAAACTATCAGTTTCTCAATAATCGATTCATAGCAAACTTTCTAAGTTTTTGCCCTATTGAACTATTCCCCCCCCCCCCCAACTTTTGCAGCCAGTTCGTCTTCAGCACACAGATTGCCATCCAAGAGCATCAGCCCCGATGTCTGTTTTAAAAATATGTGTCTAGGCTGGTAGGCAAGCCGTTATTGGAAACGTATACACGCGGATAATGGTTTAGACGGCAAAGTCTTCTTTACTGGATAAAGCTGTTTGTAGCCGATTGTTTTAGAGCCGCACTCCTCTGGTTGACCTGCATGGAAATCTAATCTCATTTAGCTAACCGTATCGCAAAAATTATTCGCGAAAGCACCAAATATGATAATATGCACAGACCAACATGTCTATTCTGGCTACCCAAGCAGAGACTGTTGTATTCGGATATGTTTATCTTTGTCTTTACGACCTGTATATCGTTTTTTAATGACGCTTAAGGCACTGTCGAGTTTTAAATGCAGGAACATCCTTCTGTAAAAAGTACTAAACGAAAAGCAATCAGCCTAACGCATACTCAAAAAGGATATCGATGTTTAGGGAGTCCTTGAGCAGGATTTGTGGGGAAACCATAACACTGATTCATATTGAGCGAATGCCAAATATTGGAAAGGATTGGCATTTAACTACAAGCCAGTATTGTCAATTTCGCTGCCAGTGAACACAAGGATAAATTTTCTTTGGCATATACGAAATATCCAAAAGACATGATAAAACCTTTAGCTTTAAAATACCCTGTGTCCGAAGGCTTTATTGTTTTATAAAGAAGGACTAAATCCTATCCTCCGCTTATTTCAAATAAGATGACCGTATCCGAGCGAAGTGAAATTTCAAAAACCTTTTATGTGTCAGTGACATTGATTTGCAGTTTTTGATATGCGTTTAAAGAATTGGAGTGAATATCAACCTTATTTTAAACGTAAAACGCTCAATGAGGTTTTAATTTTATTAGATAGAAAAAACCCACAACGCTATGACCAAAATATCGAGTTCCTTGAAGAATCACTCTGAAAATATAAATCACGAGGCAATTAGTTTTGATTTATAAGGCTTCGCTATGGAACTTGCTAGACTATTCGCATTGTAAAATCTTAAGCATTTGTTGTTTGTTTGAAGAATAGAAGGGCCATGATAATGGGATTGCCCTTTCATAGCTCAACTATCGACCTTCTTTGGAGCTAGTTAAAGCTAGAGCCAATAAACGTTATGCGGTCTCACTGTTCATGATCATTTTGAAGGTTCTTGACAACATTGGAAATTCAACTATCAAACCCTAACCACACTTCAGCTCTCTTCTCTCCTGATTGGCCTCTGAACGTCCTTTCTATTTTGTGATTTGCTGATAGTCGTGATTTGCTGATAGTCGATTAATCGTGTCTGATCAGATCCACTGCTAGGGTACTCCTAGTCATTGCCAAACAGGCCAGAAGACAAAGTAAAAAGACCTATTACTGCGCATGAGTCATCCCTCGTTCATGCTATCTATGCACATGCGTAGTAATTATTAAAGGCAATTGCGCATGGTTGTTTTACTGATGTATGATTCAAACCAGGCTAAAGCAATTTCGATTCTCGTAGTCTGTGGTATAGGCTGGAAATTTCCAAGCCGTTTTCAGACCGGGCTTTCTTTAATTTGTGATCATGACAAGAAGCAGCTAGAATACGGCTCGAGAAAATATATCTTCTCTTTGATTTCTCTGCGAGAACTCTTTCGCTCCAGGGACCAACAGCAAAAAGAGTCAAACAACAAAACAACAGTCGCTAACAAGAGTTTTAATTTTTTCACGGGAACTGTTACAAGATTACGACCTTCTAGTGAATCGGTTTGAAATTGAAATTACAACTACTAAGTAGAATCGAGTTCGTTACTCATCGTTCAGAGTCGTTATTTAAGCAAAAACAAGCTACAACTAAAAAAATGGAAAACTAACTTCATTCAGAATCTCCAAGCTATTCAGTCAAAGATACATTACCATGACTACAATGTTTGCTTTCCCAATGTTTCTCAATTGTTGAAAGCAGCTAGAAGCTAATGCTATGATCGTGTGTAGTAGCTTCGGGATTATGGTACACGCCCCTATGGTGCTAAAAGTCTTAATATGCCCTTGAAGCCACAAGGGATGACTAGCATTATCGAGATTAACATAGCAGGCCTAAACAAAATTACAAACCACAAATAGGAATGATTTATACAAGTGTCCTCGGCTGAATGAACGTTGCATTAGAAAATGTTATAGTCCATTCTTACTCAATTGGCAGGTAGCGACGTGCGCTTGACCATGTGTCATCGAAAAATTGAGAACTGGGCCCACACTGACGCAGGCATCTTACTCAAAAAGCAGGCAGACAGTAGCTACCTACTGCCGATAAGAACATAAACTTCGATCTTATTATTGTCACCTTGGCTTATGGTATCATGTATAGGTTGATCTTAAAAGACAGTATTTTTCCAGACATAGCCTAGGCCACCAAGATTTCCTTTTTGTCCATTGCATTAACAATCAGTTCATAGATTTGAGACCACCAGTTTGTTCTTTTGATGTCATTTAACTAAACAAGGACAAAAAATACGACCGTTAAAAGTACTTTCTGCAAGAATTTCACTTGCTTATTTCTACCTGACCCTATTCAAAATCGTTAATTTATCTACATAGTCCGAGAATTCACAAATGGCTGCCAAGAATAAGCCAAAATTAAGATAAAGTTCTCTTCGTTCGTAATGATAGTGCTTTAATTCGTCGATAGATACAGGCAAAACCCAAGTGTATTTATCCTATACGTATTCGGCTGTAATCGTGTGGAAGAGATTACATCATGTATACAAAGTTGCTTTGGCCGCTTTTACCTTACAAGATTAGGACTTTGATGGCGGTGAAGACATAGACAGGATTCTTGACCCCTCTAACTGAGACAACAAGCTGATCAACTCTGCCCTTGTAGTGTGAACCCTTTGGCGCAAAGTAATGCAGCCTAAAGTATCCTCGTCGGCGTATTCTTCGGCTTTTCGTTCGAAGCAGCGGGGTTCCGTATTTAGCAATGCAGTCAAACTTGAAGACAGCACCTGGTCCACGGTTCAGTACCTCGAAGATGAGTAGCATCTTTCTGCCATTGAGTACTGTATAATCCCTATCTCCATACAATGCACGCACCATAATTGGCTGGGCTTTAACAGTCTTCTCTGACAACCTCTGGAAGGCATATCCTTCGATTGTCCTACCACGGATTCTAATTTTAAATGTTTCATCAAAGGATGGGAATGTTGTGTTGAAGATGGTTGTGCCGGTTTCGTGGGAGAGGCGAAGACCACCACGCAATTTGGAGCCATCTTCCCGGAGCAGGTCGACTGTCAAAGTGTTTGGTTTGATGTTCTCCAAGCCAGTGAGTGACAAGTACAAATGGACATCATCTCCTGAAATATGCAAGCAATGAATTTGTGCAAATATTCAACCCTATTTGAACAAGAATTAGATGAGATATCCAAACAATTGAAGCACACAGCATTGGTTGTTGCAAAGACAAAACAGAATTTATGTTTTTCGATAGAGAGTTGTACATTATTCACAACAATGACGAGGTGGCTCTACTAAGTAACCATTAACTTTCCTTACAAATAGCAGTCCTAATAATTTAATACTTCCCAAGGAGAAATTAAGATAAAGTGAAGCTCCATACAGCGGACACATGCAGCACCAAAGTTACTGTCCGTGGTCTTGAGATGTCCGTTGCCTGTAGGCGTCCGCTGTATGGCGGTTGCCGTTGCATGGAGGTTTGTTTAACAAAAAGCCTTGACGGAGGAAAGAAACACAAGGACAAGAACTATTCTCCCATTATGTCTCCGTTAATATGGGGTATTCGTTACTGGAAGGTGTCCGATATTGGGAGTTGTCCGTTAAAACATGGTTTATTACATTTCCGAGCATGATTCGTAAAACATTTCAAATAATTATTTCAGCCCTAAGAGTGTCCAAATATGATTGCTTAAGATAGCTGCAGCCTCCAAATGGACGTGGCTTCAAGTTAAAAGAGACTCCATGAAAAAATGTTTCAAATCAACATCAGTTCAACAAAGTTCAACTTTTTTCAATTCATTCTTACCGAGTAGTGGATGTGACACAGGGATCAACGTGTTCTTGCGCACAAATCGATGGAAAAAGATGAATCCAAACTGAATAAGCTTCTTTGAGAGTGCTCTTGCGATGTAATCATGCACGCCTGTCTCAGGGGGGAAATACAATGTCCAAACTCCAGGAGCCGGAGACTTTATTTCATACACTTTAGCCCTTGAGAGGCTGACGTTGGTTTCCTGGTAAATGCCAGATGGATCTCTCAAGGACACCAGCCTAGCAGTGTCTTTATGTTGAACCGTGACAGAAACAACCAGACGACCAACTGTATTATCAACAGGTATGACGTATTGTTTTGGGTATGGGATTGCTCTCCTGACACGTTTCAGTATAGGCTTGCTATAAGTAATTGGCCTACTATTGGCGCTTGATATGACGGTAGAACTGAGCAGGCTGTTTCGCACCAGCAGAGAAAGCTTCCGCAGCTCAGATGTATCAGTGAGAGCAAACACTTGTCCAGACGTAAACGAGGCTACGTCATGAAACTCTTTGATGTCAATGTTTTTTCCACAACTTTCGGTTTTTCCAAAGAAGTTGATCGTCGATCCGGAAGAATAGGCAGCCACTTTGACGGCATTTATGTTGTCGATAGTGGCGTCTTTAGCATTGGCATCGGTGAAAACAAACATCGGTGATCCGAAGCGTGGTCCAGCGTTAAGGGCTTCCAGCATACCAGTGAACGTTAACTCTGGGCAGTCACCTCCTCCCTTTGCATCCAGATTGTCGATGGCTTCCACGAAATCCTCTCGTTGAGACTGATTTCTGTATGTTATAGGACCATAGCCTTTGAAAAACAACAAATCAATCATAAACAAACGAAATGCATTGTAATTAATGATTAACTAAATATTGATATTTTTTGCCATTTCTATCTGAAAAGCATACCCTACACTTTTAGTCTTAATTGTTTTCCTCGCGAATCCATACAGGGTGGTAATGCTCGGATTACAGTACAATAACAAATACGAACATTGAAATTCCACGACAGTTTTATGGCAAATTAAACTGTTAAAGGTCCCCCTTATCATAAAACGGGTCAAAATCTAAGACCAGATTCTATCAAAAAGTTTATTAACGCTTCAAATATATGATGCAAAATGACAATAAGAAGGGCATAAAGATGGTAAAGTACACTTGTATCGAAATATAATACATGGTCTATTTCTAAAGACTTTTGTAAAGAGGCACTCTTTTTTTGAACCGAAGTGGTCCCTCACTTTTCGTACAGATGTTAACTCGCAATTTCATTTGATGATAATCCTAATTTCGCAGCTACTTATTTTTGTTAAGATTGACATTTAAATACGAATGGTTTGGGAATGATGCAGAAGCCTGATACAAGGATCATGTAACACGGCCATGGGTGAATATTAAGCTCTAAAGATGATCGAATCACTTATCTTTCATGGTACATAAGACTCGAAACATGATCTAACTTCACAACTGTTTTCAACTTCATCTGTCTGACTTTTTATGGATTATTTCAAACTTCCTCGCCTCAATGCAGATCCGGATAGCTCTAATTACTATGGTATTGAGACAATATCTTATTCAGCATTCTGAACATAATTTGTGATCAAAGTAGAATAGGTATGTCAACCAACCTGGGTCTCCAAATGGCGATAAAATGTAGTCGACATCAAATTCGCGAGTTTCAGTTATAATTCTTTTGGCGATGGCTTTTGCTGCAAGAATTTCGTTTTTCATACTGCCAGTTGTGTCGATAACAAACATCAAAGTTGCATCACCACGTTTAGCGAAAACCTCTTCAAAAGTATCACTTCCTATTTCCTTTTTTATCTTTTCCATGTATTTTGTCGCAGCCTTCTGAACCTCAACTGGCTTCAATCCGAGATTGAGCTTGCTCTGTAAAAAACATAAGTTCTCTCTATGCAGTTTTGTAAGTTATACCTAGCTAAATTAACGTTTAGAGTTCAAACTCAAAAAGAACCCCTTCAAAAAAGCTGATAACAAACAAGCGATTTGTATAAAGCTGGTCTTTATCAAATTAGCAATTCTTCTTGTATGAATTATAGGAAGCTTAGAAAGACAAATCACTCTGTGTATATGTTAATGGTTGAAAACAGATCTGCAATACAGATCTGCAATATCATCTTTGAAGCAAGATTTCTTTATCTAGATGTATTAAAAAATACAGTTACACAGAATTTTTGTATTAAAAAAGATTTATTGCAAAATATTTCTATAAATGACACTGAACTATACCTTCATGAAAGCAAACAGTGATTTCCCAAAGGTGGTTCTTGCAAAGTCAATATCACCACCGCGCCCAGCTGTTTTGATAAAGTGCAGCAACTCTTTCTGTCTCTGCTCTGGTGTAAGCAGGAGAGCTCGTGGGTTTCGACTCACAATTTCATCGGTCACTGCTCTTTGTATCTGGTATATGACGCTGTAAAACTTGGCTGTGTAAATATAATATTTGACATGAGAGATTGACATGTTCTTTAATTCAGATGAAGTACTTGTGTGCGAGGGAAGGATGGTGGGGAATATTTTACAAACAGAGTACAAAATGAATGGCATTGATAAAACACACAATTAAGTACAGCATTGGCTGTTCTCTCTTTTATGGATTTGCAGCGGCTGAGATCCAATTTATGCAATTTAATGAAAATCAAGACCGGTACAGACAGCCATGAATTTATCTGACATACACCCTTTTATTTTAAGAGCACACTTCATAAAAACACCGAGACTTGATTTGCCGAAAAGCAATACTAACAAATAAAGAATTCCAGCTCCTAATGGAACATTAGAAGAATAAATTATGTTCTTTTACGAAAAATTGTGTACCATGTAACAAAAAAGGAACTTTATCAGCTAATCAACGACACTTCTAAAATGTTATTTATTGGTCTTAGAAACAATTTATAGTATAAGAATGTAGAAAAATCAATGTTGATATAAGAAGAAGATCTCAAAACACCAAAGCCTCAAATTATCAAAAGAAGAAGAATATAGGGCCAAGGAAATAAATGCCTGACGTAAAATGTGCTCTTCAAAAGAAATGGAGTTACAGACAAACAGACGTCCTCCAAGCACTGAAAAATGACAAATGTCTTGTATTTTCAGAGAAGATATCGAATGGTCGAAATGGCGACCAACTCACACTTGCTTTGTTGAAAGGAAAAACGGATTTAGCCATTTTAAGATAAAAAATACAGTCATGGTTTAGACAACGGGTCGGTAAAAGACAGCCTGACCACTTATTAAGAGAATCGAATTATGGGTACGACTCTCCAAAGCCGCAATGATACCAAGCAGCCACGTCTACAGAACTGAAGCATGTAATTTATTGGAAATGAAAATCACGTCATTTTCAGCAGAGTCCGAATGCTGTTCATATAACTGGGTAACAGTATGGCAAACAGGTCTTTATGGTGTTCGATTCTGGCATAAAGATTTGGGACAAAGGCAGCTCGATGATGTGATATGGACATTCTCATAATGATGTAGCCTTTGTCGCGAATAACGAGGTTTTGCAGACATATTGTTTCTAAGTTCTTAATAGAGTCATTGAGGTATTTCATATGGTTATATACAATTTTCAAACAATTTTGACTAGGAAACTAGAACAGGGTGAGCTCGTGAATAGAACAGGGCGACAAACCAAAATTGTGAGAGTAAATTGGTGTAATGACCATATCTTCATGTTAATGCTTCAGACGACAAGTAGAAAGGAATAAAACTTTATAGATTATTTACAACGGTAAAAAAATGCACTTGCCAAAGAAAAATAAAGTTCATTGTCATATCATCACCATGAACAGATGACGTCAAAGCATCGTTAGGTAAAGCCCTGTTTATCTTAGTGGGGTCATTTTTCTTCAAACGTGATTAAATTGCAATTTGTGAGCACTAACTGATCTTGCAGGTTTACCCAATCGAGCAACAGTTACATGACTTTTTGACTCTATAGTGTTATGATCAATCGAATATACTTTTTTCATGCATTCCTATCAAAGTAAAGATTTTCCCGTAAACAAGGTATAAAAATCAGTAATTCTCTGATTTGAAAATGATAATAATGCCCAATTTCACAATATTAGTCACAAGACCATAAGTCAAAAAGTTATCACATCATGTAAACATATTCCTGAGAAGCTGAGGTATAAACAACTGAACTTACTCTTTGCAACAAATCACTGTAATTTGGTCTTGTTTTTAAACGCTGTGAACAAAGCCAAAACAACAGAAATGCTTTGATAAAGTTTGAATAGTCATACCCCAGTCAATTATGAGAACAGATTCAACTGAATTTGCACAAGGGTGTTTTTGTAGTGTTTTTAGACAGTATTCTCAAACTCTAAAGATCTAAAAATTTGTTGCTATGATGCAATATTGTTACAATCAGCTATCCTACCACACTATCTAGCAACAGATTACATGAAATCGTCTTTGCTCGCCTCAATTATAAACGGCCAGTCTGTTTCATATGGAAACGCAAAACTTAACAAGCATTGTTTCATGTCGGAATTGCTGGCCAGTCTGGCAATCAGCTTTAGTTATAGCATTTGCGAGACGAAATGTATCTTTATCAATGCAAGATATGCTAAAGTGACCGGCTCTTTTGATGTTCCAATACATTATCATGAATCAAAATACAATAAAGAATATTTCATAGTTTAACGTCTACGATTTCATCAAAGGGTTTGGGTCCTTTGGTGACTAGCCTTGCCAGTGACCTTGGCTCAAAATTGATCTCTGGATAACACTGGAATATACGACAGATTACTGTTTGATTAACATCTTATCCCCTATTTGGTCTTGTATTGGAAAAATTTGCATAACAAATGTAAAAGCTGGCTGCATTCTTTTTGGAATTTGATGGTATCATTCAATATCTTTTTTATTGCTATGCACTTATTACAATAAGAGTAGACAGATCTGAGAATGTGGTTCCTCTAAAAGTTGCGCAATTTTGCAACTTGAGCTGGCTCAAGAGTGGGGAAAGGGGGGGGGGAACATGCTCCCTTCAACCAAACATCAGGATCTCATCAGGAAAAAGTGCCAGACAATTAGATAAAACTGTCATTATCACTGCGATGGCACTAACCAATTTTGAATGTTTCGAATTTGAGCAGATGTACAAATCACAATCGAGCAAATCTGAACTTTTAGATTGCCGCTGTTCTTAAATTTTGTTTTGAAGATTAAAATGCTATCCTAATGGAGAGGATTGCAGTTTTTACACTTATCTTTATTAACCAAGAAGTCATCAGTTCCAGAAAAAGTTATGAAAATATCTCAACTAATTCTTCTTTCAATGAATAAGATTATAGAAAACTTATTCAATTTTGTCAATCAAGTTGCCGTCGACTCTATCATTTAACCAAGAAAAACCGCGTTTTGCCCCGGGTCTTAAGACACTCTCCTCAGGATGATGATTTTTTTATAAATCTTTTGTTACAAACAGAAGGAAACAAATGAGGCATCTGCTCTACAAGTCAAAAGTTAAATCCTCGTTAACATGACATAAGTAAAAGCTTCTGATTTTGACATCCGTACAGCATTAAAGTGTATTCTTTAGTTTTTTGAGACATGAACGTTGCTGAAATTTTACTGGCTTATTTAGTTGGATTGTAAGATAAAAACAGGTTTTAGATCTAGCAATATAATGAAAACTTGATTAAAATATATTTAAAATGAAAACTTGTCTCTTCCTCTTATTTTTTCTACCCCGCGTCAAACTCTTGAAAAAGAAGGGCCAAAATTTACCGTAGACGAGAAAATAGAGTAAAACAAAACCGCATACACTTCCTTCATTGACCAACTAACTTTTTCAGGTTGTCTAGTCCGTTCTGTAAAACCATTTTGTTTTAACACATGATAATAATTTAATAAGCTCTAACTGAGTTTGGAACATTATTCGTTTAATGATTAAAAGATTTTTAATCATTCGCAATTGAGTTAAGGATATAAGTTGATTTCAAATATACACAAAGTATAGAAACTTTATTATAGGTGAAATAAAAGAGTATTTTATCGGTCTCTCCTGGTGATAAGGGCAAAAAGCGATAATTTACTTTCGGCCAACAGGAAAACAGACCCCTGTGGTTGGACAATACACCGATTGCATAGAAAATAGCTCAACAATCAATGGGACTAATGGTGATAATAGTTAAGCACTATCTGAATTATTCAGACCTAATCATTTGCAAGTGCTTATTCATGAAAACAAGCAAAAACATAAAGCAAAGAAAATTCAACCTGCAAGTGATAACAAACCCCTTGAATTTTAATAAAAACGTTTATATGAAGGAAATTTTCAGTGAAGAATGTTTAGGGACCCTAGATCAGTATCTGGAAAAACTGGCTCTCGAGTGTACTTGCTTCAATAAATTAAACCCTGGGCTTAAACTCCTTTAAAACCTGATTGGTATGCTCAATCCGTGGATTTCGGCTCAGGCTGTCACACTGTCTAATACTTTCAGTCAAACTGATTATGGTGAAAATGTTCTTACTGAATGGGCCCTGCCTTCTCATATAACCACAATGAAGAGATCAGAATGTATTGTGTCTGTAGATGTTCCACAAAACACGTTTTTAAATTTACCGATTCATGTAAGCAATCATTTTTGGATATCATTCATCTCCTTCGAAGTTCAATGTTTTCTGTCATAAAATTTGAAAACTAGAAAATTGTCTTCCTCGTATCGTTATTAGGGAGAAATATGTTGGGTCCCAAGACAGCAGCTTTAATCCTGAAAACAGTCTCACACTTTCAGGAAGAAGGCAAAAGTCATTTTTGGAAATTTCGTTTTAATGAAGCCAAAAACATTATGTATAGAAAAGAAAACCAAAAAGATTTGCAAAATTTCAGGAAAAATCATTAATAAATCTTATATTCGTTAGTTTTATTCGATGTTGCTGCGAAACCACCAACTGTAAACAGATAGGTACACCTCACTCCGTTGACTACAGTTAAATTTCTTTTGTAAGGATGTAGCAGAATATGCAGTGAAATTCACACAGGATAAAATATGAGATTCTAATTTAAAAAGCCCTAAAATTCTGCAGCAAACCTTTATTGTGTCTTCGTTTTAGACGAAGAAATTAAATAAGCTGTAATCAACATTGGAAGCAAGAAAAGGAACGATGGGGAAAATGACTCTTATCCCCAAATCTTCATTAACATCGAAAAAAATAAAAGAAAAACTTCTCCTTATTACTGCTTTTGCATCAGCAGCATTAGTAAATATAGAAAAGTCAAACAAATACAGGAAAAAATCAATTTACCTGGAGGCTCTTGCCCAAAATTTGCTTCTTTGTAATATTTGACTAATACATTCCATACAAGTTGTATCGTTTTGCCAATATCGACCGTATCAGCATTTTGCGCGACAGCCTTTCTGCTGCATGTAACACACAGAAACGCAACAAACAAACTGGCGTATATAAGTCTCATCGTTAAAGACAGAAATCCAACTTCAAAATAAACTGGTTCTTGAGGCAAATATTTTCTGTATGCCCTTCAAGTTCTCGGTTTTATAATGTGGCCGGTTGTCCCAGTGTTGTACGCCGTTCACTCGTTAGCACAACTGATTAGAAGATTGGCCGCCTGAACAACTGGATATCGAGTTCATAGGTCGTGGTGTTAAATCCAGAAGGGAGGAGCTTAGGGCGACGCGATGGCCTCAAATATGTGGCTAGCCTCTTCTTCAACGAAAGTCGAAGAAGTGGCAGCCATACCCACATTTAATCGGATTGATGAATGGATTGCTTAGTTAGATTTGTAATGCATATGTACATTTAATGCTCGCTTGTGTTTAAAAATCTGAGAGAGGATAAACTATTATATGCGTTATCTAACGCTGGTCGAAATTAAGATGACTAACTGTTGAAAAACGTTCACAAAATCTGTTTATTCTCTATTTAAAAACATACCATACAGATTTATTTGTGCCTACAAAAGAAAGTCTTTATTGCTAGAGTTATTATCTTGTATCTAGTAGCGATTTAAATCTAAACCTGGTGACCCATTGAATGATTAGAAATACTACGTAAACATATCCAACGTCATTGGTGGCTGCTTATTAGAGAGACTTGTGATTGATATTCAATCAATACAAGTAATCTGGTGTTGAAATAATGCAAGTAATACCGGCTGAGATGGCTGTTTAATTTGGGCATTCTTCGTAACCCACCATGACTGTTAAATATTAAAAGACCCAGGATAGCCAGAAATTAATGACCACGAATCGAGTTTATATGTTTTCAAAAATGAAACACAAATTTGGCTGGTGATTGATTGCTATAACGAAACCTGCAAAACAACTGGCTCTCTAGTTTATACAACTAGTTTATACAAGCAACTGAGGAACAGATTGGGCAGATGGGGTAGAAAAGAAGTCAATGCTGTTTAGGTTCACAGGCTCACTGGCGAATTTGTTAGTAGGTGACTGTTGATTGATCTCTCAACGTACTAGTCCAAACGATTATAGGTTCAACTGACAGATAGAATAAAGGATTCAAGAAGAAAGCTGCATTAAATGAGCCTAATGTTAATTTAACGAATGGCTGATCGAGTAAGCTTGCTTTTCAGTCTTAAAAGATACCCATGAATAGCAATTTCTAAAGCCATTCGAAGAATACAAAGTGTTACTTTTAACGCAACGCTTTCTATCTAAACAGTAGAAACATTTTTGAAAATTAGGAAAGATACAAGATGGACACAAGACTGAAAATGAAAATGTCTTCAGTTATTTTGAATGATGTTAAGCAACTCTCATTCAAACATTCCTTTGAATCAATTTATGAACGAGAGAAGAAAAATTTTTAACCTTGGGACCTGTGAGATAACAAATAGGCGAATAATGAGTCTAAAAAACCAATGACCAATGAAGAATCGACCGAAGAGTCAATTGAATGATTTAGAACATATAGAAAAAATACTAAACATCATCTCTGGAATGCTGGAGTTTAAGAAACAGGAATTGAATCCCCTATGGTTACTTGCTTGTTAGCCATTTTACCCCAGCATCTAAAAAAGCTAACGTTTGGTTTCGAATGTTAACGAGTTTCATCTACTTTTGCCGTGTTGGCATTGGCATGAATTGCGGTGGAACGTCATAGCTGGCAATTTGGGTGGCCTCGTGCTGGCTTGGAAGAAGCTTTCGAAGTTTTAATCAACTTTTTGGCGGTGGAGAAGGCAATAGAGCAACACGAGATTAAAATGAAATTAGAGATAACTTATCAAAAATTATAATAGTTCTGTGTAGGAGGGTCTGCATTTGGAATCGTTTGTGGAAGGAGATATCGAAGATTTAATCAAACATTTGGTGGTTGAGAAGTGAATAAAACAACACGAGATTAGAATGAAATTAAAGAGATAATTTTCTATCATTCCTTAGAATTTTGTATAAGTTGGGTCTATACTATGAATCGATTGTGGGAAAAACACTTTTGCAAAACAGTGTTAAGATTCATTTGTAAGGAATATTGTATTTGGAATATCTAGATAAATCTGGTAATAAATCTTATTTTTATTGTTGATTGATTTCTAAAGAAGAAACGTCATTTTGTTTTTAGAGTTTATCATATATATGACAACAAGCACAGAATAACAATTACAGAAATTTACAATCAGATGAGAAAAGCCAGATAGGTTTATAGCAGGCATGTCAAATGCCATCGCTAGAAATGAAGGGTAGGCCCGCAATTGTGGCGAACCAATATCGGTTTGAGCAGCATAAACCAGGATTTGCTTGAAGAAACTCTCCAAGCTGCTTTCAGGCTTCGAGGTCATAAATGGGTGGTGACTACTGAATTCGTTTCATAAACAACCGCGGCGGTAACGATAAGCTTAAAATCTCTAAAAGTATTTTGCGAATATGAATAATAAATCAATCATGGTTTACTAAGGGCAAGTCAAAAAGGATCAGTGCCTTAGTCGATCCCTTCAAAGAAAATCACCGGGAAAGAGAATCAGAGAAGTCAAGAAATTGACTGGGCATTGATGAGACGTCTCTCTGTAATATCGTGAAATCTTTTAACTGATACTTGGTATGCCAGAAACTGCTATGCAAGAGAATGGGACGTTTTAAAGTATAAATGAGAATCAAAGAAGTCAAGAAAATTGTTTGGGCTTTGATGAGACATTTTCTTGTAAACATCGAGAAATATTTTAACTGACACTTGGTAGGCCAGAAGTTAAGTACTTGGTAAAGCACGTAAGTAGGTTGCTTGAAGCAAAAATATGGAACAATAGCAATCTCAATGCAAAGGAAAAATTAAAGCAAATTTAAGTAATTCTGACGACAGACGAAAGGACAATTTCCTGAACATATATGATTCATTCTTCGTGTGATAAACGTTTAATCAATGGTACTTGTCAGGCTGGGTTGAAAATCACCTTAACTAAGAAAAGATATTTTAGGCTATGTAAGTGAATCTGTAAAGTTTCAGTTAAAATTTTTTATTCTGAATAAACAATTATCTTGACATTTATAGAAAAAGAACAGCCAGGTAAATTAATACTTAGAAATGATAGTCTAGCATTGAATTTATGTAACTGTTTACAGCAGCATAAAAAGTTATGTAAATGCAGAAGTTTATGAAAATAGCAAAGAATAACATGTTTCAGCCAAAGCAAAAAAGACACTAAGAAAGATTTAAAAGAATGGCAGGACGCCAAGGCAATAGGAAAATTTCAAAGCAAGGCATTGATTTCCGACAAATGCAGAATGTCATTGCAAAAGGAAATTGTACAAACACGACAAAACATGACAGAACATGACAGAACACGACAAAACATGAGAAAACACGACAAAACACGACACGAAATGACACGACAAGACACGACACGAAAAGACACGACACGACAAGACGAAGATTGCATCGAAATCACAAAAAAGAATAGTTAAAAGCAAATGTGATGCATAAGCCAGAAGCAGTCTTGGTTTAAAGCCAAACTTCAAGAAGAAGAAACAAACAACCACAAAGGTAACTCCAAAACTGAATGTCGTATGCATAAATGTTATAACAGCAGCAATAATGGTATATGCATAGCAAGTTTTAAAATAAAGTACGGCAAAGCTCAGAGCACTAGAAGTATTATTGCAAATAAGTTACTCAATGTTGAGAGGTTTCTGGCATTCTGGTTATTTTCCTATACTCTGTTCTGTTGTCAAGGTTACTTTCTAATTTTTCAGGCAGTAGTGAAAAGCGGGAAAATCTTATACTTCTTGAGTGTGAGCTTTAGGCCAGTCCTTTGGAGGAGCATTTTACATCGATTGATCTTTGGCTTGCCACAATTATAGGTCCGTTAACAGAACGAATTATGGTCAAGACAGATAAGGAACGCCCTTTCGTTTAACCATATTGAGTCAATTTGAGGTTATCTTTGAGAAACAAGACGAAACTCAAGCTTTTATGGTGACAATTCTAGGCAGAATGTCGAGTGATTGGGGCTTGGATATTCTACTTCAATTATATGATTTTCAAGCATTATTGTCTTGAATTGTCTTTAAAAAACATGTACGTTCTTTATATTGGTTCAGAATGATTCCTGGAACTGGTCTAAGATACTGGAAACGTCAGCAAAACATATTTTCACTTCTTTTGCAAGAGGAAATATGTTGATACTTGCTCATACAGACATTTTCAGGTGCAAACAATAAAAAACCGACAATAAAGATCGGTATCTTCCCCCAGTGAACACGCATGCATATTTCGGCATTTTGGAACATCATCTGAATTTGTTCTATCTGCAATTTTAGAATAGCAAAGGTAGCCAATTGAAAATTTCAAAGACATCATGGCTTGTCTTTGTGAAATCGTAGCCCAATCACAGACCAAACTCAACAGCAAGAAGGCTGGCCTGTCTTGGAATGGCAACAGACGATCTATTGCAATGAAAATATTGTATATGAACAGACATGGAACAAATCTTGAAAGATGAATAGTGTTAAGAATTTTTCCTTCAAAGGTGAACAGACATGAGACGACTTTGCGGTCGGTATCTTTCAAAAGATGATAATTCTTTGTAAAATAATAGCAAAACTTCGTGCCCCACCTTATCACACCCATAGCCTTAGCCAAAAGTGAAGACAGGAAATTCAGGCCAATGAAATACTTCCTTTGATTTTTCGCATAAATATATCAGCGAATAGTGAACCAAACAATGACGGGATTCTTAAATGATTTCGCCACAAATAGGTTGTTTAGGGAAATTAGTTCGTATTTCTATGATCGGTTTCCTAATTTTGCCAAAAACATGAAACTTAATCTATATCTCTCTCTAATAATTAGCCTACATCACGAAATATCTAATTCAATCTTCTTAAGGCCTATTACAAAACGATCTTAAGGTTGATCACTCTTAAAGGTTTGGATTGCTGGCTCATTTTCTTATACTGGCTTCTGTTGAACCATGCTTAGTGATTTTTTCTATATCAACAATTAAGTTGGAACAGCTCTATTAAGTAATGGCTTTACACTTGCAAAATAAACAGACTTTCTCAAAATGCATAAAAGTATTTGTAAAAAAGAGTAGCTTGTTGTTACAAGCTTTTCTTTTTAGCTTCGTCGATTAAAACCTGTTTGTCAAAGATAATGATACTTTGTACGTAAAGATAATTGT